ATATATATGATTTTTTCCTAGAAGAAGTATGGCTTTAAGCCACTCAGCCATTATCATCAGCTTCTATTATACTGCCTGGTATATAGTAAGAATTATTTATTGAATGTGTTATCAGTCATTCACACCTTGGATCATACAAGTTTATCAGATTAAATTTACTTGCCTTAGAAAGGCCCTGAAGAGATAGAAATCTAGACAGATAAGTTTAGAAAATTGTGAAAGATCACAAGGGTTTTACCATTTAAGCTTCAGTCTTCATGACACACCGTGCAAGCCATGCACAGATACCACAACCCTCTGAAGGTACTGATTTTTTCTTAGGTGGAAAGCCAGCCTTTCCTCCTCACAGATGAAGTCCTATGCTGGGCAGCAATCTGGAATGGGATTTGTCAAAGCCACTTTGTGCCCTGGCCTTCTGCCAAGTCCATCGATTTAGCCCTTTAAATCACATAATTTAAGCCCACACATGTCACAGATTCTATTAGACAAATTTCTCTGGCCAGCAGCAAAGAAAAGAGAGAACATGATAAGCCTTCTAAGACCATTCTTAATCTTTCATGGTTGGAGAACTACATTGCGAGTGGGGTTCACTGGCAGAATGCCATTAAATACTGACAGGTTTTGTTTCTTTAGTTAAGAATATGCCTTGAGGCTTAGCTTAGGTTAATGGCAGATGAGTGCATCTGCCAAGTATAAAGGTAAAGGGTAATGGGGAAAAAACTTCCAAATAATATTTCCTTAAAAGATACCAGAAACTCCATCACTAGTTACATGTTCTCAGAATAAAGACAGAGTAGACCTAACAATAAGTATGCAGAGAAAGGATTGGCCTCTGAGCACAGAGTGAGGCTGAGGCTAAAGTGAGGTTCAAGTGGCTGCAGCTGTGAGGATTGAAACAGAGCAAGGAATTAGGCAAGTCATTAGACATCTATATGAGCCTGCATGTTGACAGACAATGGAGGAAACCCATTTTTGCATTATTCTCTATTCGTAGTATAGAGGTGGGCATGACTACTTAACAGAGATTTCCAAGGCTGGATACCAGACCTCTCCTTTACCCTCCATCATATCATCCCTGTTCTTTTAGCCAGACAACATTGCTATAATTCCAAAGTCACAGCAACTTTCCTTATGAAGGAATTCATGTTAATATATTACTAGTTATTAACCATGTGACTTATTATTTCATCCAGGGGTACTTTTGGAAATGTAGTCCCTTAAAGCAAGAGTGACTCTAATAGTACAATCTCAGGCAAACATTTGTAGATTTCTTTTTCTAAAGAGGAATACTATGAGGCCTCTTATAACAGAGCCCGACGGAAAATTACATAGACAAAACTAATTCCAAATGCAGAAGATTAAAATTAAAACTGGACTTTAAATTGACTATATATCATCCAATTACACTTGACTCAAGTTACAAATTATCATGATTTTACTGTTGTCTCTCTTCACTACTTAAACCCATGCATCTGGCACATAGTGAGAATTCAATGAATGGTACTGCTGTGGCCTTCATTATGATTACTATTAGAGGCAGTGGTAGTAATAGGGCCACTCTAGTACCTAGCACCATGCCTGGGCCATGTTAACTATTCAAAACTAAGGATTATTTTTATATCTTTATTGACCCAGCTTCTGGCATAGCGCCTGGCACATAATAGGGCACCGATTGAGTTAGTTTCCTTCATTCCCACCTTTCCCTCGGATACAATATTCTTCTGCTTCCCCCATGACTGTGCCTTACTAAAGGGGTTGCAGATCTCCCTGTAGCAGTAATGCTTCCTGGAGCAGTACCACCACCAGTCACGCCATTTGAAAGGACATCTAGCCTTTTCTTCCATGGTAGTCTCTTAAGTGGCAAATGGACAGCAAGTGTTCAAGACCATTTTTCAGATGGGGATACCAAGATTATGAGTGGTTACCTTGGAATTTTAGCTTACTTCTAATCCCTATTTCCTATGAAGCTGAAAAATAAGACTCCCTGGAAACATAAGACCCCTTGTGTTCCCCCCAACCCATCACCCAACTAGGCGGTAACTAATCTCATCACATTTCTGTTGCAGTGCAGCAAGACTGCCCTCATATTTTCGTGCTCAATTCATCCTCCAAGGATTAGCTTAAGTACCATCTTTTTTTTTTTTGAGACGGAGTTTCACTCATGTTACCCAGGCTGGAGTGCAATGGCGCGATCTCGGCTCACCGCAACCTCCGCCTCCTGGGTNGCGATCTCGGCTCACCGCAACCTCCGCCTCCTGGGTTCAGGCAATTCTCCTGCCTCAGCCTCCTGAGTAGCTGGGATTACAGGCACACACCACCATTCCCAGCTAATTTTTTGTATTTTTAGTAGAGATGGGGTTTCACCATGTTGACCAGGATGGCCTCAATCTCTTGACCTCGTGATCCACCCGCCTCGGCCTCCGAAAGTGCTGGGATTACAGGCTTGAGCCACCGCACCCGGCCTTAAGTACCATCTTTATGAAACCTCTGCCAAAGCAGGAATGTCATTACCTGGAAGACTGAGGTAAATGTTTGTGGAAGCTTCATGTCTTCATCTTTTCTGACATCCAGAAGGTGAGACAAGAGGCTCTTTATCACATTGCCATGTACTTTAGCTGGCAAAACAGTTAAGTAATGCAAGACACTGGAATAGGTCCATTCTAACTCAGCCTCCAGAGGGGCCTGGAGGCCTCAGGGATGAGAGGGAAAGCGGAGCCAATCACCTAGTAGATCTGAACCTCATTTTCTCCCTTGGGGAAGATCATCATTCCCGCTTCACAGGGATACAACAAGGAGCTAATAAGGAATGTGTATAAATTTGACCTGTAAACTATGAGGCAACTGCTTGATACTGTGATTTATTCTATGCAACTGAAGACAAAGGCTGTCTTTTTACCTTTATCTCCCAGAGAAAGTTTAAACACATTGTAGGAGCTCAATAATTAGCTTTTTACTTTAAAACTAATTCTATTAAATATAACCTGGATTTAGATATGATACAAATAAAACAGACCATCAACTTCTTGCAAATCTGCACAATGCCACAGACCTAGAGCCTGAAGGAAATTGGCCAAAGGTGATCTTCAAATTTGCATCACTAATCAGAGGTGTTACCAGGAGTATTTTCAGGCACCAGAAGAGAACGAAGGTAGGAACTAGCTTATGCCACATCTTAGGAGGTTTACCCTGTGCCAGTTACTAACTGATAACTGCTAGTAATATTATTAAGATTGATAACCTTAGTAATAATAAATAAAGCATGGAGGGCTTGAGTAACTTATTGAAGGCCATAGAACTGGGAAGTCATAAAACCAGGATTTCAGTCCAGGTCTTTCTGACCCCAAAACCTGGGCTTTTTCTGTTATACTTCTTTGTAAGAGGAAAAACGATGGCGTCATTGAAGTCACTTGGGATTTTTCAACTCCTTAGCAAGACTGCCTCCATAATTGTCCACTTGAGACCTCCAAGTATCTAAGAATATTTTTGGTCTTTCTCTGTTTCCTCACTCAGCTTTCTAAATTGCTATGAACCATGGCCCAACTGTACTACAAAAAGGTCAACTATTCACCGTACAGAGACCGCATCCCCTTGCAAATTGTGAGGGCTGAGACAGAGCTCTCTGCAGAGGAGAAGGCCTTCCTCAATGCTGTGGAGAAGGGGGACTATGCCACTGTGAAGCAGGCCCTTCAGGAGGCTGAGATCTACTATAATGTCAACATCAACTGCATGGACCCCCTGGGCCGGAGTGCCCTGCTCATTGCCATTGAGAACGAGAACCTGGAGATCATGGAGCTACTGCTGAACCACAGTGTGTATGTGGGTGATGCATTGCTCTATGCCATACGCAAGGAAGTGGTGGGCGCTGTGGAGCTTCTGCTCAGCTATAGGCGGCCCAGTGGAGAGAAGCAGGTAAGAGAAATTCCTAAAGACTGAGAAATAGCCAGGCACAACAGGGCACCAGGTCAGAAGCCCTGAAACTAGGGAAGGTTAGGTGGTCTGGAATTGAGAAGCTCTATCTCACAAATTGCACCAGTGATCTCAGATAGCATCCTAGAGCTACCCTATATGGCCCATGCTGAGTTTTCCTCATTACCTTTTCCTTATTTGTGTTTGCCCATACTTAGCAGCCTAATGGTGTGTTCTTTGTTTCCAGAATAGTCAAGCCCCTTCTAACCTTTGTACACCCTGCTTTCTATCTTCAGTTTCCTCCTGTACTCAAAGGTTATATTCTAGAAAAGGAGAGAGAAAATACAGACTTGGATGTTCTGCTTCTCATCAGCCTCTCTCCTGAAGCCAATACAGTAGGCTTTTAAACTTGAGTGCCATGTTGCAGATACTTATGGATGTAAGGCCTCATATATTTTTCCAGCACCTGTCAAGTGACTACACTCCACCTCCAGATGTTTGGGTTTTTGCCTCTGTGATTCTCATATCCTCCAAGGCACCTAGGTTTGATACTCTGGGGTCATCTTTTATTTGTCTGACTCCCTTGCCCCCATATCCAATCCCCAAGTCCTGTGGTTCCTTCCTTCCAAATATCTTTCACAAACTTTCTCTCCTCTCCAGTTCATCGTTCACCAGTCTGGCTCTGGCTCCCAACATCTCTCTGTTAGATGAATGGTCCCTAAAGTGTGGTCCCTTGACTGGCAGCATCAGCATTACTGGGGAACTTGTTAGAAATGAAAATTCTCAGGCCTCTACCACAGTCCTATTGAATCAGAAACTCTGGGGTAGGGCCCCAACAAGCCCTCCAGAGGATTCTCATGTGCAAACAAGTTTGATAACTGCTGTCCTAGACTAATATAAAACTCTTCTAAGCTGGTCTTCTTGTGTCTAGCATGTTCCCCTCTCTCAAGAAGTCCTGAGCAATAATGCTGCCTTATTCTCCCTAAAATAGCATTATAAGCTTGTCGTTCCTGTACATCCTTTTGCGGCTTCTTTTCTGCTGTCTAAAAGTTCACTGAAAATGAACTTACGATCGGCAGATTAATAGGAGAAAAGGGCATACAAAATTTATGAACATACACATGGACATGGAAACCATACACAAAGGTTGAAACTCAAAGAGAGGTCAGATGTTGGAGACATAAATACTCTCTTCATAGGGGAGAAATGTGTGGACCTGGGAAGCAGGCATTATTTTATAAATGATTCTCTTTGGATGCTGCCAACAAGTTAAGGGAAAGTGAGGGATGGGACTGCATAAGAACTAATGTTTTTTTTGTTTGTTTGTTTGTTTGTTTGTTTTTGTTTTTTTTTAATTTCCATAGGTTATTGGAGAGCAGGTAATTTTTAGTTACATGAGTAATTTTTTAGTGGTGATTTGTAAGATTTTGGTGCACCCATCACCTGAACAGTATACACTCCAGCCTATTTGTAGTCTTTTATTCCTTACCACCTTCTCTTTCCCCGAGTCCTCAAAGTCCATTGTGTCATTCTTATTCCTTTGCATCCTCATAGCTTAGCTTCCACTTATGAATGAGAACATACAATGTTTGGCTCTCCGTTCCTGACTTACTTCATTTAGAAAAATGGTCTCCAGTTTCATCCAAGTTGCTGCATATACCATTAATTCATTCCTTTTTATGGCTGAGTAGTATTCCATTGTATATATATGCCACAGTTTCTTTATGTACTTGTTGATTGATGGGCATTTGGGTTGGTTCCACATTTTTGCAACTGTGAAGTGTGCTGCTATAAACATGCATCTGTAAGTATCTTTTTCGAATCATGACTTTTTTTCCTCTGAGTAGATACCCAGTAGTGGGATTGCTGGATCAAATGGTAGTTCTACATTTAGTTCTTTATTTTTTCCCCCATTTATTTATTTTATTGCATTTTGGGTTTTGGGGTACATGTGAAGAACATGCAAGATTGTTGCATAGGCACACACGTGGCAGTGTGATTTGCTGCCTTCCCCCCATCACCTACATCTGGCATCTCTCCCCTTGCTATCTCTCCCCAGCTCCCCACCCCCCACTATACCTCCCCTATTTCCCCCCAACTGACCCCAGTGTGTAGTGCTCCCCTCCC